AGTTCTGATACTTTCTGATGAGTTCTGTCACTTTCTGACAACTGTGCATCATTTTCATGTGTACCTAATTTTGCCTGATTTATCAGTGATATGAGCAAGGATGTTTAAGCATTGTTTACTGTTTCATGATGTTCTATCTCATGATGCACAACCTGAAAACTATGTTCTGTTTCATTGAATCCGGTTAAACTCATAAATGATCTTGATACTGTCAATTATTAGCAGTTTTGCCCCATTTATAACATGTGTTTGTTTTTTCTGAGACTGATTTTCTAGCTTACTGCAATATCAAAGTGATTGTGCGAATTAATCCAATTATCCATGATTATTGAATCAATTACTACTTTAAATTCACTTGTGTAACGTAACCAGGCAGTTTGTACTGTATAACCCTGAGCGGAATTTTTCCTTGACAAATATTTCCTGTTGCCGCCTATATGGAAATTTCTGAATATTCCTAAGCGTCTTGAATTGCTCTTTCGTTACCGACTATCGTTTTTTAGGAGTTACTATTAAGACTAATTTTAAGTTCTGCCTTCTTATGGTACTCTGTTTTGCAGAGCACGTCATGTGAAGATGGACTGACAAGAAGTACAGTAAGATTCCAAAAAATCTGTATTTCATTCCCTGCAAACCATCTGCGTCCTCTGGCATTGAGGACGCGACAAAAAGTTTTGTTCGATACTTCCCAAATTTCAATCTTCATATTGTGCTGGTAAACAATTTCACAATCGGTTCTTTCTTTAGATATAAAGATAAGCTCCCTGTTATATGCGATCGTCCCTGACTCCCTGGTTTATCAATATTGTTGTGCACGATGTGCATCTGCGTACGTTGTGGATGACTTCACGCAATCTTTATTCCAGGGTCTCTGAGCATAGGGGCAGGAGTTGTAGAACAGGACAGTTGCTATCGCCGCATCGCGCCCACCTCATTTGACTGTGCCGGTGCGCGCTCACGCCGAGTGTGATGTCCCTATTTCTGACAGTGACTCTAGGGTGTTAGCTTCCACCTCTACCTCCGGGACTTCCGATTTGCGCATTTTAGAATCATTGTGCATCTTTAAACTTAGGTCCAGTTTGAATTCAGCTGCTAGCTCTATGCCTCTATCCCCTTGAAATTGTTAATAGATAGTTCTTTTTTTTTTTGCTTAATTTCGTTCTGTGCTTTCAATGTATCAATTTGTGACTTCTGATTCTAGATTCTACGAACTGATGATGGACGGATCATCATCACGGATGGAGCTGGTCTCCGAAACGTTTTCTATAAAGATATGCTTTTTTGTGGACTTTTCTTTTAAATTCTAACATGTTAACTCAGGTTCTGAGAGTCGGCACAGTTATGAATATTTATTTATTATTCATAGAACACAGTTCGGTTGGAAATGAATTACAAGCCTGAATAGTAGAAGGCGATAATCCACATGGCTGGATATTGTTGCCTTCTAATGAAGGAGTGATTTTAGCAAATAGTTACTTACTTGGTTACTTGGTTAAGATACGGCGCAGCACCGACGAAGGTATTAGCGCCTCCTCTCCGCCTCGTTTTCAAATTGAGTCCAGTAGTTGGGTCTTGCGCAGAAATTGTATTATCATTTCGGGGTCAAATGGTGGCGAGAAGAGAGTACTCAGAGAGAAAGGGAGGTTCAGTTGCTGACAGGCTGTGCGCAAGGTGTGTTGTTGTTGAGTGTATAACGGGCAGTCAATGAAGATGTGTTTTATTGTTTGTTGGCAATGGCAGGAAGAGCATGTGAGTAGTGGGGACTTAGTGAACAAGGTGACTATGTGTGAGGAGGCATGTTTCCAGTCGTAGGCGAGTGATGGCTACTTGTTGGGGTCGGGGCAGTTCTGTAAGGGTAAGTGAGGCAAGTTTGGGGTTAGACTAGGTGATGTGGGCAGGTAGGGTTGACCAGGCGGTATGCCAAACGCTGCGGTAGTGCTTGGCGATCTTGACTTTCCAGTTTCTCGTGCCCAAGGTAAGGTTGGTCGTGTTGGCTAAGTTCAGTGCTGCTCGTGCAAGAGCATCTGCAGCAACGTTGCCTGCGATGCCACAGTGTCCTGGCACCGGGACGACTGAAATAGCCCAGCATTGCCCAATACCAGCATAATTTTCATACTTCACTCTGTGCGCAAGCATGCTGCAGAGCAAATTAGCCAACATGATTACTTGCTGAAAGACACAGGGACTAAATCCCTTCATGGATGTAAACCAGCGAGCCAATGAGCTGCAAGCCGCCAAAACAATGGTCGTAACCCACACGCTAAACCCCAAAATATTTCTATTCCATGCAGCCTAGCCCCTTCACCACTTTCGATAACGAACGCCCTGCGCCACAGTGCTATCAGTACACTGCTACCTCTCCGGCCTGTCCGTTCGTCTGGAGGCTAAACCTCCACGCTTACCCCCTGCTCCCCCTCCTTTCGGTACCAGCTTGCGGAAGAATTCTAACCAAACCTAACCTAACCTTTTCGCGGAAATGTGGAGCGAACTCAGCGAAGGGGGTAAGTGTGGAGGAAGAAGATGCTGGTGAGCGTCAGGGCTGGGCTTACGTCTGCGAAATGGGTAAGGTGATGCGACAGTCCGGTGCGGGGCCGTTCCCATTTACGGCAGTCTGGTGCGGTCTACGGGCCCTGTGGCTTACGGCATTTGTAACAAGTGATGGTATGGGCTTAAATCATTGGTGTAGGAGCTATTGGGTGTAATCCGTTTGGAGTATCAGCTTGTGGGATGAGGCATTGCTTGTTTCAAGCTGGTGTGGCGAGATGAGGCAAGTAAGAACAGCTGCATTCTTCCCTCCCTTCCCCTCTTCTTCCCTCTGCAGCGCCGGCGTCAGGGCAGGAGGCGGCCGGCAGTGCGTCCTGCAGCGCCAGCAGCTGCTCCCTGATTCCTTCCAGCTTTGCTCCCGTGCTGCCGTGATCAACTGTCATCTCCTCCGGCACCACCTCGGGCCTGCGTAGCATAAACATTACGTAGAAATTAACAAGTTAACAAGACGAGCAATTTTACCCGCCAGCGGTAGACAAGTTAGACTCCATAAGAATAAACATTGTTGAAAATTCCAGATTTTTTGTTGCAGCGCGAGATGCAAAGCTTAGCGTTCTTGCAGCTGCAGCTTTAGAATGAATTAAAAAGTTGTCGAATTAAAAAAAAGGAAGAACCATAGGCTAGGCTCGTGGTTCGCAAATATCTTTCCCGACAGATAAGTAGCTTACATTGCTTACCCATCAGAGTTTTGAGAGGCATCAAGGAAGGCGGAGGGGGCGAGGGTGTCCTCGAGGACAGAGATGCTGAGCTGCGAGACGCTGGCCAGCGCTAACTGAGCGTGGCCTCTCAGCGAGGCAATTTCGTCTTCAGCACACAGTGTGCTCCCCTGCAGCACACCCCACATTTAAAATGGTATGGTACCGTCGACATCCTCACCGAAATAAGGCATTTTTCACCATTATGATGATTACGTTTTAGGTCGCCTGAATTGAATAACTTCACACCGGAATTGGGACCTGTTTTTCCTAGCCTGATCTACGCAGTAGACCCGCGGCTGACAGCAATTCAGCTAAGCGATACAATGCTGTGACTATAGGTGCCGAACTCTATAGTCTTGCACAAGAGGGACAGTCTTATGAGGAATTGTCAATTAAGTTGCGGAACATAGGATGGATGTAGTCTACAACACAACGAAGCCTGAATTAGATACGTGATCAAAATGTTCCCGATGGCAACTCAATGGAAGAAATTTGCTAGAGGGAAGGGAACGTTTCTCGCAATAGTTTATAATATAGCTAAGTATTCTTCGTGATGCGATCTAGATTTTCTTCATAATTATGGGATATTTTAGTGGATAACTACCATTAAAATACACCTGATGAAACGGATGCAATCGCCAGATAATACGATTAGAAGTTTCCGAATCTATACCGTCCTAAAACCATTCGAATATATTATAACTTTTATATGACTATTGCCTACGCCTAGAACTAAGAGACTACGCCTAGAACTAATAATTGAAGGAAACGGAATCTATTATACACACCAACGGATCAGTTGATTCGAAGTTCGAAACCGCAAAGATGCTCGGTGACTCGTAGCGTCGGTGGTTATCGTAGATGACGACGATCTATCTCTACTGGTTAGCAGTGCTGTCTGGAGTGTGCTAGAAAGATGAAATTGACCTTAATCTTCCAATTCATGTTAGAAGAAACGTGGAAGGTTGACCACGTCGAAATAAAATGTTATAATCGCATAAGAATTTACTATTTGATTTCGAATTTAATTTAAAGAAATGCGGATTGTAACTGGCGAAGTTCTCATCAAATATAGGTACTTAACTTACGACCAAGATCACTTTTCGACCAAGATCATGAGCAGGTTTTCCACGAATAAGTTAGTCAAATCGTAACCGGTCGGGACCAAACTAAAAATGGATATATTTGTTGGAAATAAGTTCATGCCAGCATCGATACATTTTTGTCCACTTCGAGTTTAATTAGCTCACTAAACGCTCAGCTTTGGCAGGTTTCCCACGCATAAATTTTTCAAATCGAGACTGATCGAGAATTGATTAACAACGAAGCTATTTATTTACTGTACACTCCTGCCGTCTTTGTCAGAATTATTCTACTTCGCTCCGTTGTCGCATACTACGTAACTAATGGATACTGCGTAACTAAATAGTACACGTGACGGCATAGATACACGTAGCGGCCTTAGTACAAGTAGCGGCCTTAGTACACGTAGCGGCCTTAGTACGCGCAGCGGCCTTAGTTCACATAGCGGCCTTAATGCACGTAGCGGCCGTTCACTATACTCAGCTTTGAGCTGACTAGATGAGCGTCACTGTTGTATGACCCAAGCTGAATCTGGCGGCTATCCATGGCGCCGGTAGCTTACTCGGCTAATAATAGCGGTTTCAGCGTTTAGTAGGCCTGTCGCCGATTCTCAACATCGCATAAAAATTACAGATTTTTGCGGTCTTGAACTCGCAACTCCCTGCTACAATTCTGCTCTCGTTAACCGCCCGGCCTCCTTGACGATTCTGACCAGAAACTGTCGCACAGAGCTGGGATCGAACCCGCGCCTCTCTGCGCCAATCTTGGGACTCTGAACTTTAACCACTGGGCCACCCTGCCATAATCACCAGAAGCACCTGTGCGACAAACAACAGATTCATAGATTCTGCATCAAAGTAATCATAAGAGCGTCTGACCAGCCCAACCAGTTTCTTTGATTTATTATTCCGGATGTTCTGAGCGAGTTTTTTTGGCGTGTTATCTGGCAAGCTGTTTAAATCATCTGGCAAGCTTAAAAAAATCTGGGAAAATACAGCGCCATGCAAACGTCATTCAATAGGCTCGAATGTAAAACTTAGTTCACGTCATTGGCCGAGTTGATTTATTCCTGTTGAGACTCAAACATATATGATTATTTGCTTTTGTTTCTTCGAAGCCTTCCAGAAATGGTGGTTTTTAACTTTTGACAACATTGAGTATACTCACTTCGGCATTATTAAACATTTATTGACAACTGATACAATGGGCTTCTTTTAGCTGGATACGGAAATGCCTCATGTGCCTAATCATCTTTATAGATAATCTTGTTGAATATTCCTTAAATGATGCCTGCTATTTTGTAAATTTATGTCTTCGCCAGGTTTTTAGTATAAAAATTTCCTTGCCAGGTATAACTCACGAAAAATGTCTGACCTGGCGAAGATACTGAAGTGACGCCAAGCTCACAGGCCTATAAACAACTGCCTCTTTGACTGTACAAGACTCTCTACGAAAATAATTCAATATTTGATCACAGACTTCATTGATTATTGTCTAGGAGCAAAGCCTATTTATCAACTAACATCCAAACATTTGAATTCATCTGTTCTATATTTTACAGTAAATAATTCGATCCATTGAGCTATGATATATGGCTTTGAGGACTGCATTCAATTACGTCAACACACATTTGATGGACGCTATGTTTAACACCTAAGCATTTTTATGAAGTACAAACGATTGAACAAGCTCACTAAACAAATACATTGGTCAGAAACTATTCCAACAATGTAAGACAGAAACTATTCAAGACAGAAACTTCACCTATCCCAAAGGAATTGAAGCTATTCAATGCATTAACTTTTCGAGATTCGAATTCAAACCATCAGCTCTCATCACCGCAAATTGAAGTTTGTAACGAGTGCACTCCTACAATTGTAGATCGACAAAGCAGTTGCACACAATATATTTCCTTGATCAGAGTGTATTTTTAAGCTCAATATCATTGGTATGGTAGGAAGATGGGAGACGACAGCTAGCCTGAGTCAGACGTGTTAACAAAACATTAGTAGGCTTGATTGCCTAACACGCACCTTACATTTATTGAAAGTTGTTTTATCTGCCTAATAGATACATCTATCAAAGAACACATATGGTACAAAAACAGTTCAAAATTAAAGAACTTGAAGAGTTTACATCAGCAGCAATGGACAATGGACATGTCGCATGCAGTCGAGGCGAGGCACTTCCCTGAACACCTGTCGTACCGTTAGTGGTTTTGCAGAAATGGTTCTTTATTATCCATCTTTGGATGCCAAAGTTCTAGCAGGTTCATTGAACAGGTAAAGTCCCACTGTGAGTCGGCATAGAATTAAGCAAAGCCTCAGTTTTCGTAAATCTGTCTGAATCATGACGTCATCTCCATTCTATAATTAATCACAGAAACCTGTTATAAATCGACCATTTGAACACAGATCGCTCAGACAGATTTACAACCAGGCGTTACGAACTATTGTGCAACATATCTAAACCATGCAACATTCACGTAATCTTAACTATTGGCACACATTCAGGTAATGGTTGAACCGTTCAAATAAGTGTTATCTGGGAATTTATATATTCCTCTCTCCCCCAAAGAAATCAATTATTATAACATCTTAATACCACGAATTATTTTGTTGTCAGATTTAAAAAAAATTGATATGAAATCTGAATGCGGCAGCGTTCAGATTTCTGAGTCTTCAAGTAGCAAATTTATTCCAATTCAAGCTAAGATATTCCCCTAAAATTTCTGTTCCAAGTTCAACTAAATTTTAAAACCAGGGATCAACTAACACGTACAACAATCACGATCAAAAACGATCAAAAATATATCCATTCAATGCGTCATGATAAATTTGATTGTCTACAAAAAAAAATCCTGCCTAAAATGCAAATGGCATAAATTTTGCCAATAATGCATGAAGTTCCTTCACAACAGCTTAACAACGAAATCTAACAATAGACATATAAATCATCAACTATCGAGTCACCTTTAAAGATAACATCACAATATTCAACTGATTGCTCGACTTTTTCATCTAGAGGATCATTTTGTCATAGCATCGTCGATTCGGTTAGTGTCCGAATATCGGGAGGAAAATCAGGATTTGTTCTACTTTTAGTTTTGTTGCACGTTTCCAACGGTTTGCTCGTACTGCGCTTTACAATATTTTGGCTTTTGGAGTCTTGGGACACCAATTTCGGGGCATGAACGATTGTGAAGGGCATATTTCTCTTGGGTGGAATAGCAGAAACCTGGGTAGCGAAAACGGGATGTGATATTACCTGCGGGAGGTGAGATGCATACCTCGATGGTCGGGGTATTGTATTGTAAGGTAGATAAGTAGTACCACCTAACGATTGTCCTTGCATTCGACTATAGACATTTGTGCGTTCTTTGGATTTAGGCAAGGTTTTCACGTGAGGCGATATGTGGTACGGATGGGGTAATAGTGAAGTCACGTACGGATCCCCGTACAAATTGGGTGCACATGCAAGCATTCCTTCAAAAGTTGGCACAGAATGAGGTAGAATTGTTTGGGCCATACGACCTCTGCAACCACTTCCGGGCTTGCACACTTTTACGCTCCCAACGATCGATTTCTTATCGTTACTTTTTCTGGACATATCCGAAGACGACGAAGTTTTGTGGTGTCGGCTGGTGATTGGTTCTACAGGTATATTTGTGCTTTGGTGTTTAGTTCTCACCCTATATTCTTTAGATTTTACCTTAAAGCCTTGTTCTAATATTCTGGCGTCGTTCGTTATCTGCTCATTTTCATTGTGAACATTATTTTTTGATCGGGTGGTAGGAGGTATCAATTTTTGTCGCACAGACGGGAGTTGTTCTATCTTAGCGGATGTCATTTGGTCCACCGTCGGCTTTTGTTGAGATTCTCGACTAGTGTCCGACGCCGAAGAAATTTTAGCTGTTTCACATGGAAGAAGCACTCGCTCTCTACGGATGTCAGGAGATAGAGCTTTGCTAGCTTCATCAGGGGGCTTGGAACTCTTGGTAGCGGAAACCTGTTCTTCAGTTGGCACTTGCAATGAGCTTTTCTTTTTAGAATTCGTTCTTCCAACTCCAGGAGAATCAGAGTCTGGGCTTTGCTGAAGTGGCGATAATTTAGACTTTTGCCTTCTTGAAACCGGACTTTCAGAGTCGCATATTGTTGGAAGCTCTTGGTACCGACCACTGTTGCGTGACAATGGTCGATTGAAGGAATTCCCTCTCGAGAGTGAGATACCAGAAACTCCAGCTTGTGCTGCAGCTTGTGAAAGAAACTTGGCCGCAGACATAGCCTCGACCACCGAGTCCCGTCTGGTAGTGTAGTGCTGGCGACCTTGCTTTATGAGCTCTTCGTCCAACCTGAGAGGTAACAGTAGCAATTTACAAATTCGATTCTGATCGTTTATATTAGCCTAAAGTTTATATTAACATGTAAAAAAGCATAAAATCAGCACATTAGATCGATTTGTTATGTGTGTAAACAAATCCAGTGGAAAATTAATCGACTTACCCATGATCATGGCTTCAATATTCAGCGTGCAAGGAAGAGAAATAGTAAAACATTACTGAGAGTCGAGTTGATTCACGCTAAATAATTTTCTAAAGTTAAGTTAATTAAATACATGTACTGAATGTTGACTTCATGCAAAATCAAAAGGCTTCGTAATCCAGTAAGGAGTCTAGACAGCAGGAGCTGGGCTAGAAATTTCACTGGCCGTTTGATAGGAAAACTGTAATACGTTTAGGAAGTGCAGAGGAGTTATACAGTTATACAAACGAAAAATTTGACACAATGTACACACACACCGAAGAAAAACTTTGCTAAGCTTTATCATAACCCAAGAGATCAGAATTACGACAATTCAACAAGCATTACTAATGAAATTTCAACTCTATCACAAGATCTAAAAATCATAAATCTTTATTTCAAGATTGCGATGTTGCTCATACCCAATATCAGGAGGCTTTGGCAGTTCTTTCTTAAAATCGTCTTTGCCAAGAAGCCAGTAAGTAGGCAGGAGGCCTTTGCCTTTGATTTGCGTCCGCCCCCGATACTCGAGATGGTAGTCGCCCGATTCCCGCAACTTGAAGGCAGTTTGCTCACTGATGTGGATGCGCCAAGCAGCACCTCAACGGTAATCGGGATAATAATTTCACATAATTATAATATGACATTATTAGGTCAATTTAAAAAAATTAAACCAGTACTCACTGCAGTGAGTGATAGAGAGCTCATTTTCTCGTCGACGAAAACGTGAAGTCATGGACGGATGGACGGACATGACGAGCACAATAGCGCCTTTTTTCATAAATGAGAAAATGCGCTAAAAACGATAATTTTTGGTGAAATGAAAAAATGGGGATCTGATGAGTGTGAGTACTAGTGTTCTTGTGTAATTTTTGCTCCACGAGGAGTGGAGCATTGATAGAAGTGATTGGATACTAAGTTTCAATACCTGAAGTCAATAATGTAACAGAAAATTGATCACAGTCCTGGAAGGAACTCTGACAGGGGAGTACAGCGGTTTTATGGACGGAGGACATTTATGGTCAGGTTTAAGGTAACGATGACTAGTTTAGTGATTAATTACTCATTTAATTTTTTTATCAGATCATGAATTTGTCGTTCTTTATCGATAAAAAATATATTTTAATTTTTATTTGAAATAAAAGAGCGTTAAATTTTTTTAGGGGACATAGGAACATTTCAAGGATGTTGAAACCCCTAAAATAGGCCAAGTGACGCCATATAGCTCTGAGAGGAGTAAATTTGACAATTTACCCGACTTTACTCAGTTTTTGTTTACTAAATGTTACTATTGTAATTTTGTCAATTCGGCAATCATTGTTAGTGAAATTTAATGATTATCCTTCTACTTCGCGCGCTTCCCTAAAACTGGGACAAACTTCCCTAAAACTGGGTTTTATCTAAACAAGCTTCAAGTAATCGAAATGATTAAATGATTAAATTTGAGAAACAGGCCGACCGACAAAAGAAATTAGATATTGAAAATGTGCACTGATTCTTTTCGTGTATCAGCCTATTTTTAACATTTATATTTATGAAACAGATAATGTTTAATAGATCTTTGCGGGTATCCGTTAATATTGATCAGCTAATGTTTTATAGCTCTTCATATGTACCAGTTACTGTTTAACAACATTTTATGTGTATCAGTTTCTTGTAAGTACCATTTGATGTTAATATTCTCTATGTGGATCGATTAGTGTTCAATAGTTTTTTTGTGTGATTCCGTTAATGTTTAATTCTTATTATGTGATACACATGTGAATCAGTTGATNTCTGGCAGGATGCAGGGAACACATATATATGCCATAGGGAATACATATATATGTCAGGGTATGCAGTGAAAATGTTCAGGCACAAAGATATTGCGAGCCTCTGGCAGGATGCAGGGTACACCTAAGTCAGGGTATGCAGTGAAAATGTTCAGACACAAAGATGTTGCGAGTCTCTGGCAGGATGCAGGGTACACCTAAGTCAGGGTATGCAGTGAAAATGTTCAGACACATCCTGAAGATACTGAGAGTCTCTGGCAGGATGCAGGGTACACCTAAGTCAGGGTATGCAGTGAAAATGTTCAGACACAAAGATATAGCGAGTCTCTGGCAGGATGCAGGGTACACCTAAGTCAGGATATGCAGTAAAATGTTCAGACACATCCTGAAGATACAGAGAGTTTCTGGCAGGATGCAGGGAACACTTAAGTCAGGATATGCAGTGAATGAGCCAGTCCGTCCAATGAAAAGTCTGGAAGCAAGCCGTACATTAGTGCCATGCAGTTGCTAGTGAAACCTCTTCTATATTGCGACTGTTTATATCAGGATTATTGAGAGTTACGGGAATATATCCTGCGTATGTTCATTGAAATTACTCGGGTATCATTCCTCTCGTACTCAAGCAAATTATCCTTAAGTAGCTGCAGGTCTCCGACGGAGCTGGACATGGCCAATTAGCAGGACATGGCCAATTAATGCTAACCTAAAAAATACCATGCACATTACCTATTTCGAGGAGGTGACTCAAAAATCTTGCAAACAATAATTCTAAAACCCAGCAGTCTCCAAATCTGAAGAATTTATTTTGAACCGCTAACTTCTCAAGTGAAATGTGCTGTCGCTTAGGTATTAAATGGCTCAATTGGACAACAGGCAACGCAAAATTTATATGAATGAGGGTTACTTAGAATTAAATACAAAATAGAAAATATGGTTTATGTACAAATAACTTGTGAAATTGGTCGGTGTTTGCGGCTTTTTGTTATCAATTTCAATAAACCCACTATGTTTAGAAATAAGTGTATTAGCAACAACGAGATGTGCTTGTTAGGTATCTTATGGATCTTGATAGAAACAGCGCCGGGAGAAAACAACTTTGATGGAAAACAGTCTCAACGATAATCGCCTCGATGCAAAACAGTCTCAGGGGAACAAGCACATTTTATTGAAACAGCTGCGGGAAAAACAGTCTAGAGGAAAAAAAGTCTCGAGGGAGACAGTCTAAAGGAAAAATAGCATCGGGGAAAACACAGCCTCACGGGAAAACAGCCTTGTGGGAAATGAAGCCGACTTCGCGGCGGAGATGAAAGATTATCTGGGCGTCGACGCTACAGGAAATTGCTGCACTCTATGTTGGTCATTTCGTTACAAATTTGATTTAAGTATCATCATGACAGACTAATTCAATAGTAATGTGCCTACAAATAGATAGTTTAATCTTATAACAAATAAAGAAGTAAGAATAACGCGTGTGTTGACACAGGAATCGGATTTGTGTTATTTTTTTAATTTGTGAGCCAAGTGGCGACTGAAAAATGTAGAATCTTTGATTCAATCGTTGGAAAAATTAGCGGAGATTGAATGCGATCTCCTTGAACGCTCAGATCCACGTTAGCCCATGGTGTATTTTGAGACTTTGTCTAGACGAGAATATGCAACAGGCGAGTAAACATGAAGGGGCAGGCGAGTAAACATGACGTGGCAGGCGAGTAAACATGACGGGGCAGGCGAGTAAACATGACGTGGCAGGCGAGTAAACATGACGGGGCAGGCGAGTAAACATGACGGGGACATGAGGTTGCAGGCGAGTAAACATGACGGGGCAGGCGAGTAAAAATGACTCAGCAGGCGAGTAAAGATGACGCAGCAGGCGCTTAAGCATGACAAGCAGGCGAGTAAATAGTAAACATGTTTGTCTCGTCGAGCAGTCACTATTCTGCTGCAAAAACAACACCAATACCGTCGCAATTGCTTCGAGATGAAATAAAATGCTGCGCTGTAAGCATGTACACCAACTAAGCATGTGATAATCGTGTACATGAAGAATGCAGAACATTATGACTCTAGTGCGCCCACTCATGTAACTCAATAAGAGGTCGGTAATAATTTTTAATGCAATAATTTGATATATTTGTCGCCATTGTGGCATGAGTTTCTGAGATAGTAAACATCGGACGGCGAACAACTAAAGATATAGAGCTCATGTAACGCGTGAGGGGTGTCACTGTAAATAATTGGAAACATTTGTGAATAAATAATCATAAATGATAAAATAATCTAGATTTGAATTTAATCCGCGTTCAAATAAAAAATATGAGTATTAAACATGGTTATTTTAAATGTTGGGCCCAATTTAATAAGCTTGTATATATCGAAGGAAAGATTTAAAACGAATAATTTACACACCAATGGAAAGAGAAATATTCAAATTTATTTCGACCTTTTTTTAACCATCAAGATGCCCCATTGGCATCCTGATGTCTGAAACTGTTTGAATCAGTCAGTCACTTCCTAAGCGTTGGGTAGGACGCATAGGAAATGACGTTCTGGCTCTACACTCCTGGCCACCGAGATCACCCCATGTGACTATTTCTTATGGGTTTACGTCAAGGAAGCTGTTTACGTCCCGCCTCTACCAGCAACTCAGTTTACGTCCCGCCTCTACCAGCAACTCTGGTTGATCTGAAGAACCGGATCACTGCTAAGGTGCACTCAGTAACACAAGATATGCTTTCTCGTGTGTAGGACGAGTTTGGCTACCGTTTAGATGTTTGCCGTGCAGCACATAGGAGATATGTTGAACATTTAAAAATATGTTAAAAAATTTTAAATCCTTTGTTTCCATTGGCGTTTAAATTATTCATTTTGAAATCATACTTAAACAAATACGAATGTAATAAGTCGGGCCCATCATTTAGAATAACCCTGCACTCAATAATAACCAACTACAACAAATATACTAACGCTGCGGCTTTCGGTGGTGGCCGAGAAGCACAGAAAATAAAACATGGTTTGACTTCATAACGACAAATTGCTACCTACCGACAATTGACGATGCGGAAACTTAGGTGAAGTAACCTTACAGACGTTGTAGTGGTTGACGTAATCTTATAGACGTTCACTTATGCGAAGTAACCTTATAGACGTTGTAGTGGTTCAAGTAACCTTATAGACGTTCACTCATGCGAAGTAACCTTATAGACGTTGTAGTGGTTTAAGTAACCTTAAGTAACAGTCATGCGAAGTAACCTCATAGACGTTGACTCAAGTGAAGTAACCTTGTAGACGTTGTAGTGGTTTAAGTAATCTTATAGACGTTGTAGTGGTTGAAGTAACCTTATAGACGTTGTAGTGGTCGATGGTGGCGTCAAAGGACGTGTAGAGATCATTGAGCAGATCGACCACCTCGAAGGGAGTACTGTAGGCACTGATCGTCGTGAAGCCCACGATGTCTGAGAAGTAGATGGTGACCTCGTCGAACTCCTCAGGTGCCACTTGCATGCCAAGCTTCAGCTGATCCGCTACAGAGCTGTGCCGAAAAGAGAACATCAAAGCAAATGAAGTTGATGAAAATAAGTTAAGCGATACTGTCACAAATTTGACGTGGAGTGAAAGCGTTGAAAATATATTTTAATAGAAGCTTTCACATATAAGTGCTAGTGAAGTTGTTTCTCAGTTGTTTTTTTACATGTGTCAGAGGTACTTAACAACTCAGAAACTCAGAGGTACTTGTTTTAGAGGTACTTAAATGTGTGGAGCATCTACCGTGGAGTTTGTTGTTTTCCTAATGAATGAGCAAATTTTAATAGCACACACATTAGAAGGACGTTCTTCATGGAAAAACTTTCTACAAATAAATGCTAAAGGCAAAGATAAAGTGTAACCATCACAATGATCGCTAATGAAAGTTCAAATGAAAAAAATAATATTTTCGTGTGTCTAATAATAATATTCGGATGAATAAAATAGGCTCTCGAAATAAAAACTTTACTCATGGTTCCAATTATTTATGTATTGTGTAATTTTGCTAAAGCTGTTGCGATGAACAGAACAAGGCGACGTCTTAGCAGCAAAAGTTGTCATCTAGTGATAAGTGTTGGCTGCTAAGTGTGCAAAATATTGAACCGCAGAAATAACTAAACCCCTTTCATTTATGAAATTGTGAAAGAAGAAATAAAATCATAACAAAAAACTATTCAGATCGTCAGCTTCAACATGAGGGGAAATTAATCACATGCTAATTATTATCACGTTATGGTCGTTCGGCAACATTCTTCAGTTTTCAAATCAACATTTGCGAACGTCATTCAAATATTTCTAGCGGCCTAAGGTCTAGATTCCTTTACCTATAAATGAAACATCAACGCATCTAAAAATATGAGCCCTATATATATTTTGGTCTAAGCCCTATATTTTTGGCTAATGTCTAACTAGAATAAAATAATTTCAAAGAAAATCTTTAATGAACTTTAAAATGGCAGCCAAAATCCGCCCAGCCAAGTTTTAAGTGGTGCCGCAGCGGTGCTGTTAATAAGGCCGCTCTCGAGCAAAACTTGCGGTATGTAAGACTCACCTCGGCAGCATTCTGTTGAGCAGCTGCTCTGTCTTTTTCTTCTCGACGTCGAGTTGCTCGGTGCGTTCCTTAATGAGATCCTCCAAGTTGCTCGAATACTTCTCGAGCATCTGGAACATCGTGTCGACGATGTTCTGCCGCCTGTCAGCAACAACAAACTTGAGCCTCCCCCAGTCCAAAGACCATTCAAGTGTGCAAACAATATTAGAAATGGAAAAATATTTATTAAAAATGCACTGTAACTGAGATTCACATACGTCTTTTTGGACTAACGCGAGCAAATACTCATCAGCTAGCGTAATATTTTATGTATATTTGTGGTAAATTGTTTACGTATGGATTTGTTATTAGACTTGCACTGCACAAATATTTGCTGGCTGTCTGGACTATATCGCCCAGACATATATATTATATTATGTCATATATATTATATTATGTCTGGTATTATATATATATTATATATGTATAATACTCCATACTTATCGCGGATCATATAATGCTTACGGGTTATATCGTTTAAGGATTTTTTATTACTTATATAACTTTGGCCTGAAATTTTATTCATAGTGTGAGAATAGGTAAGGATTGGAGGCAAGGATTTGACTAGAAATCGAAATTTGATATTGCAACATGAATAGAAATGAATTTAAAGATACAGATTAGTTTCCTCCATATTTTAAAGCGATTATAAAGTAAAAGTTTTCTCTTCTCTGTAAAATTTGAGTTTTAATTGATCTTTATATAATTAGAATGTATGAGCTTTTTTATTATTGGCGGAATATGGATCACGGAAATAACGGATTTGGGATAACAGATTTAAAATTTCAATATAACAGGAATTATTAAGCCCAAGAAACGTTAGGCTAAACGGGAGAAGAATGTAATTGCACATTACTAAGCTCGTCTGAATGTCTTCGTATATAACGGCTATGAGTTATTAATGAGGCTGCGCCACGCTAGTCTTACGCAACGGATGTTTCGTATGAACAGTAATGGAGAGTCCCATGTGCACATTTTTCGTTTGTTAGCTTTGCAAAAAAATATGGGAGACATGAGATTGAAACAGAGAAATGAATAAGAAATCCAATGGAAGAAGGTAATTTTAATTAGCTAAAAGTAACGCCTAGTGATGTATATAGTAAATGAGATGAACGAACAACTCAATAAAATTTATTACATGCATGCAGTGTAAGAGCGCATTCGTTTTCTAAATTTTTGCGTGGCCTCCCGTGATCCTTGAATGCATGTGGCCTGAGAGAGTGAATATGGCTCCAATTGGAGTACGGCTGATGTAAGGCCGGACAGGTTGCAAACTTCGGTTGACAGTCATTGCCGGGCGACAACAGGAATGCGTCGGGCTCGAGGTTACATGACATGCCGTGAGTATATTTACGGCATGAGAGAGGAACTTATTTTGAATATATTTTTCACAAAAATGAGTTTGTAGTCCGCTATGAACACACAGGAAAATTGAGTTTTGGAGCATTTTGGGGAAGCGTCTTGAAATTCTAAGCGAGGCAATAAAAGATGCCTACAGTATTTTCGTGCATGAAAGTATGTCACTGAAAGTCATGCGCGAGATGTAGAGAAAAATTACATCTTATGATTTATTTTCTTGAATGGTGCGATGTTTAAAAACCATTAATTTTATTCGGAATTACACATGAAATAATTTCGGAGCTAATTTTTTTAGACGGAGAATGGCATGCTGCTCTGCAGTTGCATTACTGCGCTTTGTGGGCTCCATAGTGACAGTACGTCAGTGAAATGAAATGGTATTACCATTATATTAATAATTGTGACAGTTGTGTTGTGTAAGAAATTCAGTTGTGACATGCGACTTATTGCGAAAATGTTGAACAAAAAAACACATATACAGAAAAGATATGCCGTAATTTGTGGGTTTTCTAAAAATATTAGTGAGAAGAATCATTCATGGATCTTCGCTGGTTCGTGGGTTTATGGGGGAGATTTAAACATTCCGCGGAACTCGATTGGCAGTAAGAGTGTACAGAAGGATTTATAAACAATTAAAACAATATAAACATAGCAAACAATCACAAAATAAGTACTTAAATTAGCACTATCAGTCGACAATTCCCCATCGCGGATTCCACTTATCGCGGTCGAGGCGTGGAACGTAACACCCGCTAAAGGTGAGAACTTTCTGTATAAAAGGACGTGTATATTTCTTCTAATTTTTGTGCTAATCAAAGACTTTACATATTCCTTTGAATAAGCTGATGTTTTGATCCTAAAATCAATAACCTAAAACTATACAACTTACCTGTTATCATGACCTAATATAGATACACATAACAATTGCAATAAACTACAAGTGGCCGGATGCCTCGTGTTGATATTGTCGTTCTTGTCTCACCTTGTGTCTTGTTGCATGGCTAGTGGGAAAGAGCTTGGAGTTCGTTCTTCATACTCCATATTTTGAAGCCTACAAAGGAGCCTCATAAACCTGACTTAGTACAAGCAATTTCCTTTAGCAAGACGAATTGCTTGACTGAGCAGAAAGCCTGTTCTCTGGAAAGTTAGTTCATTGGAGCAATAAAAGTTACTCTTGGACGGAGACTAAATTATGCGCGGGCTTGAGAAGAAGTTTTCACGCAAAAACACGTGACTTTTGTACAAGCGAAAGAACCAAATGACCGAGAAAATTCTGGGCAAAATTATTAAAAAATTTAATATTAAATATGCAAATTCCTGCATATTTGTCCTATTTATGAAGCAGAAACACTTCCTTACTTTTAATGATTGCGTCTTGTGATACTTTGTATAGTTCGCTTATGAAGCTCTTACCATGCAAAATAAAAATAGCTCTCAATTAGGATTTGAAGAATAAATTTTAACTTTTTTGGAATTGATTAAAAATTTATCTTGGAATCTTGCAATTCATCAAAAATGTCGTGGAAATTGACGCAATGGACAAATAGTATCTATGTTATTTCATTGTTTGTATTAGGAAATTAAAAGGCTTCATGAAAGATAAAAGGCGGAGTACTAATTTAAATTGTGTACGATAATAAGAAGTTTCAAATTAAATTTTTTATACAAAAAGGAGGAGTAGCAATTAAAATGGTGTACGATAGGAGTGGAGTGTTAATTTAAATTAAGAACTTGTTCAATGAAATAGAAGAAATGTTATGTCTTAAGGTGGCATAGCAACACGAGTGCCTCGCAGTCATCGAGGCGGAGCTGTTTCCTCCAGGGCAAAAAATGCTTGCCTTGATTTGTGAGCGGATAAAAAGTGGCGAGAATTAGATCCGGCCGCCGGGCAACTGCCGGATGCGGCCAAGACCATCATTTCCGCAGGCAATAAGCTGGCAAGAAATTAATTCAACGCACGGATGCACCATTCATTATATAATCTGACATCTACAGAGAGATGCACAGCTTTTGCAGAGAAAAGAAGTTCAAGCGCCGAATTTTGTGAATGAAAGCTATTGCTTTTGGAACAATATCATTGTAATCAAGTGATAGAATCAAACAGTCGGGACATGATTATTGGTAAAAAATATTTGAAAGTACCTGAAAGCATCGTGTTCAATTCTGATTGATTAAAGTTGTTTTGAATGAAAATACAAGTAAATAATAGCTATACTAAGCTGATTGTGTTTCATGAGGGTGGCATTGAAATGAATTATGCACGCGAATTTGACACAGAATTTTAATGCCCGAGTTCAGTTTAATGAATTGAATATGTAGTTAATTAAAGAAATATACCTATCTTCAAAAAACGAAAAATATCTGTTGAATTTAATTGCTTTGAAATTTGTTTCCATAATCAAAATTTATGTTTCACTTTAGCTTAGAACAAAGGAATTGGTCGCATACTTTCAAATGAATATCGCGCTATTAATAGCCTTGAATTCTTGATTGAGCTGAATTCAAGCCTATTTTATGAAGTATAGTATATATGAATTAATATATACCAACGCGATCGCACTGAAAGCTGCATTGCCCTGGGTTTTCAATATGACAAATTAGTTTAAATATTTTTCGATTCCAGTTCCTTGTACCAAAGTAATAAAAAAATGTAATTATAATGACCTGCCCGTGTTGAGTTTCTTGAAGGTCTCGTGTATTTCGTTGAAGTCTGGCCGTATTTCAGTGACTATAAACTATACCCTAGACTATAAAAAGGGACTATAGACTATACCCTGGACTATAAAAAGGGACTATAGATTATATCCTAGACTATAAAAAAATATAATTACAATGACCTGCCCATGTTGAGCTTCTTGAAGGTCTCGTGTATTTCGTTGAAGTCTGGCCGTATTTCAGTGACTAGACTATACCCTAGACTATAAAAAGGGACTATATACTATACCCTAGACTATAAAAAGGGACTATAGACTATACCCTTGACTATAAAAAATGTAATTACAATGACCGGCCCATGTTGAGTTTCTTGCAGGTCTCGTGGATTTCGTTGAAGTCTGGCCGCATTTCAGGGGCTATAGACTATACCTTAGACTATAAAAAGGGACTATAGACTATACCCTAACTATAAAAAAAATATAATTACAATGACCTGCCCATGTTGAGCTTCTTGAAGGTCTCGTGGATTTCGTTGAAGTCTGGCCTCATTTCAGGGATCTCGGCCCAGCACTGCTTCATGACGTTGATGGCGTCGGGGGGCGCAACGTTCTGGCGCACCGACGGCCTGATCATCGGGGGCGGGTCGCGCAGCCGCGACAAGATTTCTGGACAGAAGAGCAACGTTTCCGACATTATATACGGACCTCGTAGCATAAGTATCCGACATTATATACGGACCTCGTAGCATAAGTATCCGACATTATTTACGGACCTCGTAGCATAAGTATCCGACATTATATACGGACCTCGTAGNGTAGCATATTTAGCAACATATTTACGGGCCTCGTAGCATATTTAGCAACATATTTACGGACCTTGTAGCATATTTAGCAACATATTTACGGAGCTTGTAGCATATTTAGCAACATATTTACGGGCCTCGTAGCATATTTAGCAACATATTTACGGACCTTGTAGCATATTTAGCAACATATTTACGGAGCTCGTAGCAAGTGTTCCTTATCCGACATTATACAAGATTTAAATAATTTTTATGATAGCCTTGACGTCGAGTTAATAAATATCGAGTTATTAGCATACGAATTAATATCATGCTAATACAAATTTAACGGAATATCATGCTAATAGTATTTGAGCGAACATCATGCTAATGGTATTTAGCAGAATATCATTTTAATAGTATTAACTAAACAGCATGCTGATAGTTATTGAATGAATACAATGCTAAATTAATTTGAATGAATTTAACGCCATGAGTATTGTCATGAATATCATGATATGGCTCATCATCATGATATGGCTCATCATCATGACATGGCTATCATCATTCATCATGCTACGGGGAACAACTGACCCTGGTGGGAGAGCTGCAGCATGCAGTAGGGCTCGCCGCGCAGCAGCACCTCCTGCATGATGATCCCGAAGGCGTAGACGTCCCCATAGGGCGTGCCTTTGATGAGCAAGGCTTCGTTGCGCAGCAGTTCTGGCGCCTTCCACAGCAGATCTGGTCACATGGCAACCGTAAGGGAATTAAAGAGTTTATTGTGCGAGGCGAGTCTTGACATACCGTATGTATTTATTTATTTATGGGAAATATGCTTATAAGTTCTATTTTGAAAACAGTTCGTGTCCAGTCGAACAGCAAAGCCCCTGCTTCGAATTCGGCCGTAAATCTTTTCATTTCAGGCTCCGGTTTAATTTAAAGACGTAGTTATAACGTCCGATAATAATTTTGAGATCAAGTATACATTTCCGATAAAGTGGACTCGGCATATTTCCAAAGCAAAATAATATAGATAAGGCTAGAGAAAAATATTGATACGGAGTGGTGAAGGTATTACACGCCTAACATTTGAAAATCATCGAGGGATATCGATTCTTCATATCACGCGTGATTATTGTTGTCGAAAATATTTCGAATCGAACCTCTGGCAAAATTGCTATAATGTTCACATGATGAAACTTCGATACTTATCAAGCATTTACCCGTGGCCTTTACATTGAGCTGAACCATCGTTCGTTATAGATAAGCAAAGTTCCTTTCAGCGGCTGTTTACTCAAATATAGCAGCATGCTTAAATAAAATGCATAATGGAACCATATAATCATCACCGTGGCAGCATTAACTTCTGTCATTTAATAAAATTCTTAACTTTTGATATCTGATGAAATTCTTAACTTTTGACATTTGATGAAATTCTTAAATTCCAAAATTTGATAATGAATACTTTGCAATAACTGACTCAAGTCAGATGCCAAGTCCTCTCTCATTAACTCAGCTTTCAAGTCCTATCCGATGACTGAACGGTAGAGGCTTTGCTCGATCGGGGTTCGATTAATGCAGGCAGGGGCTTTTCTTGAGCTGATTTCTCACGAGGTATGTGTGTGATACTGTCATGACTTGTTCCTGCTACATGTCCAAATTTGTTACCTGTACTGCGATCTTTTCTGCGGCGTATTAATTCGTTATAAGGGTGGTGTTAGTGGAGCGTTTTCATTATGTAAGGAAAAAATTACGACGATAAATAGTGATAATTTGTTCCTGCGACATTTCCAATATTGTTACTTCTACTACCATGGTGGATAGCACACGTAAACTAACGGATACATTTTTATCCACTTCATTTTAAAGATGGCCATCTGTGGCTCATCGTTGCGCTGCCTGCCCCAACGTGTTGTTATTGGTGGTTGAAGATTTTTTCTGTTAAGGTGGCCATAGGCAGGTTATAGGTGAAACATAGGACCGACACGCAACCAATGCGCAATCGGTGCTCCGCCTATAGCCACCAATAATCATCGATGCTCCACCAATAATTTTTATTTTGACAGTTAACCATTGCGGATAATAAGGATCAAGCAAGAGTGCTGCTAAACCCTCATATTAAAACTGAGATTACCTTTCATACCAACAGAGATGCGTACAAACACATGTTAATTATACTGCTGTTAATCTCTATTCTCCATGAAACATTCTAGAAACTATTGAGAACCTGCACTTACTTATTTACGGATCTTTTCTGTGGCGTATTAATTCGTTATAAGGGTGGTGTTAGTGGAGCGTTTTCATTATGTAAGGAAAAAATTACGACGATAAATTATTTTAAATGCTACTCAAT